TCTCATCAATCTAGAGTTTCATACACATACTTTTGCATGCTGTTCATTTTATTGTTTGGATAATTATATTGTCTTCATTGTCTTCATTCCCTGTTCCCAGTTAAATCACAACTTTTAAGTGTTTATGCCTTTACTAATAAAGACAGAAGTGATTAGTCCCTGCAAGTTATTAAAAAATTAAATACATGCCTTGCCTTTTGCAAGTGAGGATCCTTGTCTGTCATATTTGATGAAATGGTAGCTATGTCTCTGGAGCTGCATGTACAGAAATCTGGGTCTTGAAGTATTGGTCAGTAAAGTGATGTGTTTGATGCATTTTAGTGTAAATCACTGTCAGCTCAGAGACAGCAGCCTGAGGAGAAGTACAACTCTTCCTTTATTCTTCCAGAAATTTTTCCTAATGTCTTCATATGAAACAGGCAAGCCTGCCTGTTATATTAAATATTCCCCTTACTTATACACTGTCAAGCAGGCTTCTCACTAGTTGTCAGGTAGGAACAATGTGTAGTGTAATCTCTGCACAGAGCAGAGAGCACCAGCTGAGTACCAGCAGTACCAGTGCTGCCTCCTGTTGTTTTAATATACCTCATTTCAGGTCCTAGTAGTGCATCAGCTGGAAATAAATTGCTTCTAACAGATGAATGCTCAAGAAAGAGGCTATCTAAAAATCTTGTGGTTTTTTGATTAAGAAAAAAGATACTGAGGTCCACTTCTCTTGGTTGCAGGGATATCTCAGTGATGACCAATTAAAAGCCTTGAAGGCTTACAGACAGCTGATGAATGACAAAAAACAATCTCAGATGCAGGAACAATTCAAGAAGGCTTTAGAGTCAGCAGAACAAGAAGAAAATGGCTGTTACAAAAGGGATGTGTCTGCAGTATGGAGATTATATGTGGTAGACTACAGAAAGCAAGAAAAACATAAAGGTCAGTGCTTGAAAAATTATAAGTAACTTTTAACTAAATGTGGTAACTGGCTAGCACAGGTAGATTTGAAGAGTTTCCCAACAGTATTTTAGCTTACATGTTAATATTTCCGGTTTGATTCTCGGTTTAAGGCTTTTGGATAGGAGGGAGTGCTGTAGATGTATTTTGTTTAAAAGCCTTCAGAGGGTGAGTGAGCAGGTGACTGAGCTTCCCGTGCTGTTGTCAGGAGCAGTGGTGAGCATCTGGCGCCCGCTGCCCGACGTGTGCTCCTTGCTGAGGGAAGGCGCTCGCTACAGGATCTTCCAGCTGTCGGCGTCCCAGCCCAGGGCCAGGGCAGACTCCACCCACGTCCAGTTAACAGCCACCAAGAAAACTCAGTACCTACAGCTAGCAGTGAGTGCTCTGAGTGCATACAGGTGCATCATTCAGATGTGTCACACTCTCTAAGTGTGGTAAATACTGAAGTTTTGTGTTTCATCAGGTATCACAGGAGATGCTGGTACAGATTTTCTTTCCAAGAAAGGCTCTAGAATTCACCAGTTTGTTGGATCCTTCTTTTCAGCCACCATGTGCTGAAGTGGATTTAGTTGGAGTTGTCATTTCGGTTAGCAGAACAGGTATGTTGTGGACCCCATCCATGTCCTCCCACTGAATTAGCACTGAATTCTTGATTCCAAAAGTCCGAGTTATCTTGGTGTTGTACCTGCATCTCAGGCCTGTGAAAACCTCCTAAATACTGGCCATGTCACTTTGCCAGTGACATGCTGGCAGATAAATTTGTATTTCTGAAGAAAAACTCTCTGTGCTTATTAGCTCAGGAAGTTAGTAAGGCAGCATCTAAGCTCAAAAGCAGCTTATATTTAAGTCGTTTTTATTTCTTTTCTATTATTTTATTATTCTATTATTCTTTTATTTTCTATAAATGGTGAGCCTAAGGTCTCACATCTGTGTTCAGCATCTGCAGAAACACCATCATGCATGTACATGAACTCTCTCTTTGGTGTACAGTGTCATGGAATGAGTGGAATTCAGGCACTGGAGCTCATGGAGAGGGAGAGGTGGATAATTTTCTAGGTGAAAAGAAAAAGTTCTATAGTACTGTTTTTAAAGACACAGACTTTGAGTTGTTTCCTGTAATCAGTAGGGAGCTGGTGTAGAATATGAAAGATGTATGAGATACCTGTCACCATGCAGATGGGCTGCCATAATAGCTCTTTCAAGATGCATGTGAATTTTTTTAGTATCACTTAAAGAGATGTAAAGGTTTAATTCAGACTTTTTTCCTGCTTTTAGGTTTCACTACTGTGGTATACTTGTCTGATGAAAGCTATAATTTAGTGGCAGTAAAGATCTGGACAGATCTCAGACACTTGGCTATTGAAGACGTAGTTGTCCGCTGCTCACTCATTTCTGCAAGCAACCTTCAGTGGCAGTCTGAATTCAGATCAGAAATTCCCGTGCTGTTGGCTGGAGATCTTTCTTTATTCTCAGCCAGTCCAAAGGAATGCTATCTTCAAGAGAAGGTTAATGAACTGAAAAGCGTGATAGAGGTAAACCTGTAGAAGTGTCATTTGATGGTTACTTTTAGCTACTGCTATGTTACATCCTTCAGCAAAAAGTCTGTTAGTATTGATAAACCTTTATAACAAGTAGTGCACACAATGCTGAATTTGAGGGGAATTTTCTGGGAGACAAAGTAAGATGTTAATGCAATTTTCCTGAGGAATTGAATGTCTTGATTTTATTTTTTTTTAATTTTCCAACTCATCCAGCAGATGAGTCATGATGTGCCACAGAATCTCTGAGTGGCAAAAGATCTTGTACCTGTCAATAGGGAATCTGCCATGGACAGAAAGTGCAGGAATGTTCTGTGTTGTTGATTTGATATAAAATAAAATTCTGGTGGGATAATGATGAAAAAAGAAAGTCTTAAATGTAGTGTACATAGTCCTTAAATAGTTTGAAGGCCAACTATTCTGCATTGCAAACTCTGTTCTCCCTTACAGAATGTGCCCTCCTTTTGCTCTGATGCAGAAAGTAAACTGATGAATTTGCTAGGAAGAAATCTCTTGCTGACACCCAGTGTACCTAAAAGATGTGGTTTGGAAAGCCCCTCTCCTTCCTGCAGCCATGCAGAGGATAGAAGTTTGGTAAGCTTCTGATGATTAATGCTGTGTTTATACTGGCAGCACATGCAGCAAGGATTTATGCAAGTGGTGAATGGTCTCACTTCTGTGTCCATTTCATCCAGTCTTTTTAGGGCAATGCAAGCTGATTAGAAGCTTTCTCTTTGTGTAGGGGTTTAGGATTATTCCCCAGAGGAGCCATGAGATAAATTATCCTTCCTCCAAACACTATGTGAAAACTTCCCCTTGTGGCCTGTGTTTCCACAACATACTTTAAGTATTTTGAATTGATGTGAGTAAAATGAATCATCTTTCTTTATAGATGATTTAGTGCTTCTTTGGTCCCACTGTGAAGATTATCCAATGTGAATGTCACAGAAGGGAAAAATCTTGATCTGTACATTCATTTTTATTTCAAGGCATTCTGCAGTTCCCACCTTTGTTGAGAGAATTTACTTCCTTGTCTTTTTATAGACAGTGTTTACTATTTCTAAGATTTAATAGGGATGTCACCTGGAAAATGTATTTTAGCAGTCTTGACAAAAATTGATTTAAATAGTACTCAAGTTTCCCATGAAAGCTGCTGGTGGTGAGTTGCTTCTGACATGGAATACTGAGCACAGTCAGAACAAAAATTTTTCCTGCCATGAGTAGTAAGGGAGGTGGAAACACCCTGGTATGGTATCAGTTCCTGGGGACTAAGTTTAAACTTGTAAGGCATCTTTTTCTATTTCAAAGGGAGGGCTAATGTTTAATTCTGATGGTTTAGTTTATATATTTCATAGACTAACTAGGTAATATTTGTATAGTTTATTAAATACATTAAGAATCTTTTAAAAATGAGACATCCAGTGTATTCTCAGGCCTGTGCTTGAAAGATTTGCTATGCAGAATCTCTCTTGTGTGTATTATCTTCATATTTTTTTGCCTGTGTTCTATCCTGATTTTTCTTAAAAACTTTTTTCTTCTTTTTACTTATTTAACCACCAAGCATGTGTGGAGAACATGACCAAGGCAGTAGAAAACTTATGAGTGCTTTCATTTCTTACCATCTGGCATAGAAAAATTCCCATACATTTTGCTTAGCTCTTAGAAACAAAATGTACAGGTAAAGAGTGACTTATCAGTCATCAGCACTTGAAGGAATAATATTAATCACCATCAGGAGATACCAAACTTAAGTGACATATGAATGATGATGTAGTGTTTTTATATGCGGAGGGGCAGAGGGATTCCCCCATTTTTTGGAAGTTTTTGAGGAAGTTCATGAGAACATTCTATTCAACATAAAACTTCTCTTTTTACCCAGATCTGTTCTAGAATTGAAATGAAGCATCCAAGCCCTTTGTCAACTAGCACACCAAATATGCAACTTGTCACACCAGGGTCAGCAAAAACACCTTCACCTGCTGCAGTTAATGAAAACTATCTCAAAACCAGCAAAAAGAGAAAAGCTATGGACTTCCTCAGTTGCATACCTGCCCCTCCACCACTGACACCAATATGTTCAGTAATTTCTCCATCTGTTAAAAGAGCATTTCAGCCTCCACGAAGTTTGGGTTTACAGCACAGCAGGTCACCCAAGGGGACAGATCAGAATATTGGCCTTGTCACCCCTTGCAAAAAAGTGAGAGAAACTGTCCATCTTCCTGAGAATGACCTGGTTGCTGATGAAGAACTGGCAATGATTAATACACAAGCACTCATGAATAATTTACCAGAAGAAAAGAAGATGGATTATGTAAATGAAAACAGAAATGCGACAGCTACTACTTTATCTGAAGATCTGTCATCCAGAAATAGTTCCAGGTCTACTGGGGAAGCAAATAACTCATCAAAAGCAGTTCTGAAGTAGCTGAGGCTGTTCAGAAGAACCCAAAGGAACCTGAGGACTTATTACCAGCCCACAGAATGCTACAAAGACCAAAATCCCAAAAACGCTGCTAATGCACATGTACAGAATTGTATATATTTCAAATTCAAATTATTTTTACACTTTGTACATTAAAACTTGATTGTATTTAATAAAGTTCTATTACAAAAGCAGACTCATTAAATAACACTTCATTAGCAAAATAGTTTGAAGTTTAGTATGTAAACACTAATCACAAAGATGTATTGTACAATAACATCAGTGTGGCTGAGGGTTTGATGACATTCTGTAAGCCATTGATTCTGTGTTCTTACATTACAGCAGGATCTTTGTTTCAGTCTAAAGCCATCAGTTTTGTTACCCCCTGCAACATTAGAATAGTTGTTTGGCTGTCCAAAGTGGCACAGGACATAATAAAGAGTTCTCTTATTTTCAGCAAACAGAACACTTTAATTCTGAAATGTTGCTCTGCTATTCTGGCACAGTTCTTGTACTTTTCTCCTCAGACTTTCCATATAGCACTAAGGGAGGTTTAAAGAACAGCAATGATTATTTGACTCACAGCAAAATGCCATGCAGAGTTATTATTAAATAGCTCCTTGGTCTGTGTTTTTGCTTCAGCTGTTCAGAGCTGCTCCTGTAGCCCTGTTCCCACTTAGGAGGTAACAAGCACAAGCCTAACACTAATGTTTCATTTCAGGAGCCTCTCCATCTTGGGATCAGTGAACTCCTATGTCTTGGCAAGATGAAGAGCTAAGTTTGCTTTGTTGAAGTGTTTTGCTTGCAGGCTGGAGAAGCTGTTTGTGTTTAAGGTAAGGGCAGCATGAATCCAGTCAGTGGAGAGAGGGAACAGCATCAATCTTGCTAAAATCTGTTGAGCTACTTTTGCCATCATTCACTTTGCTTCTGAAAGTTACAATAATGCTCTAGGCATTAACAGTAGATACAAAAAGTTTATACAGTCAGATATAAAGCATTAAAATGGCAAGAAATGCCAATTGTGAGGGGAAAGAATTGGCCACAAGGGCTTTAAGACAGAAATAAGTTAGGAATGTTTACTGCTAGTGTCAGACTGTGATGCAGAAAAAAATACCCAAAATGTGGCATGTGGTAGAGCCCAGTACATTTCACATATGCCTGGATGGATTTTCATGGAGGAAGAGGGATGAGACAGAGTACAGTTTGTACTGGGTACAGTGTTCTTCAGTGCTCTTACAGTGGTCATGTAGAGCTGTGAGAGCGTGGTCCAATGCCATTTAAAGATTTGTAAGAAATAAAATTTAGGAATTTAGTAGAAAAACACAAAAATAAAAAACAGTTTAGAAAAAAATGTAAAACTAGAGACTCTTGTACCCTGATAATTAAAGCACCAAGGAATGCACATCTTCAGTTAAATGTCACATTGGTACGTGCCAAGCCCGGTCTCCTCCTTGGGAAGGCAGGAAGGTGGGTGGGATGGGGACCTGTCCCATAAGCTGCACTTGTTCCACTGCAGCTTCCCTCATCCCTGCTTGGTTTTTCAGACCAGAGAACACTGTGGAAGGTGACATTGTGCTCATATTGTTCTTTCATCCGTTGTATCTTTTCCCGAGGGACATGATGAATATTTCTTCTGTAGAGTCAAAAGTAACAGAAAACACAAGTATTTAGCTGCCTGGGTATGAGGGGTTATCTTCAGTTTGCTGAAGTCCCTGACAGGTTCAGCATAATGGTTCAGGTCTCCACTGATCTCTTTCTGGCCTGTTTTTACAAATTACTGTTCATTTCCACCTACTTCTTAGGAATATTATCGTGACTGCTGAAAAACGTAACACCGTTATTTTTGGGAGGCAGATGGGACATAGGGATTTGACAAATATCCAAAATAAGAGTTGTGTAGAAGCCCTGTGTGGTGTTTTATATGAGTGCTGCTGTGTTTCAGACTAACAGCTTGTTGGCCTCAGTGAGCTTGTGTGCAGCTGGAGATGGCAGCAAGGGCTGAGCCAGCCCAGACAGCGAGCAGCAGCAAGGACAGGGTCACAAAGTGCTGTGCTTTGAGAGCAAGCAGGCAAACATCACACGTGATGGGGCTCAAGCTCCAAGGCAGACTCATAAATGACAAGTTTGAGAGGGAGGGGAACAATGCTCAGACAAGCAGGGCTTTCTGGATGGAGTAGCCACAGTAGCACCGGCCATGATCCCTCCACAAGTTAGCAGGAATTGTCTTCCCAAAGACCACCAGGAATTTCTGTTTGTGAGTTTGCAAACCCCAAGTATCTTCGGGGTTGCCATTTAGTGCTGGTAAGGCGCAGCTTGTGCCCCAGTGAGCGTATGTGAATTATCTTTACAATGCTGCTGTGAAAAGTCAGTGTGGGTCAAATATGCAATAAAACAAACTGCAGGTTACTGAGTAGCTCTGCCTACAACAAATGATCAGACTGTGTCCCTGCAGTGCTCCCCTGCCAATGGCTGGTGCTGCTGAGGCCAGAGCTGGCTGACAGCTCAGGCTGTGTCCTCACCTGTCCCCAGGCCTTCATCTGCCATGTCCTGCCTCCCCTGCAGCCACGAGCACTCTGGGCCTTGGCCCTCTGCCATTTGTGTCCATCACTCACACACAGGAGCAGCATTAATTTTTGACTAGAGCTCCTGGCTGGTAGAAAACAAATCCTTCCGTTGCAATGAAGTGCCCATGCCTTGTTATCTTGCACTAAGTTAGCACGTGTTATCTTCTGGATTTGGTAGTTGGGAGAGCACTGCTCCCTGTAACTCACAGCAGGCTGGCTAAAGCCTAGGAAGGCAGCCTGCACTAAATTTTTCAGTGACTACAGCCATTAACCCTGCAGTCATTGGTCAACATAACATTCTTAGAGCCACATTCAGCTGCCTCTACACCCTACCACATTGTCCAGAGTGTTTTTATCCTTTTTGTGTGTGTGTGTTAAGATCTTCACAAAGATCCTCTAGAACCCCATTTCTTACCCACACCTGATGCACCATCCCTCCATGCTGCAGCAGGACAGCATCTGTTATGGTTAGAGTCTTAAGGACAGAAGTCTCAATATTGGCTATATTGTGCTTAGATTCGAGTTTGTGCCCAAACAAAAGAGACTGCTGCTCAAAGTACAGAATGAAAATCAGAGCTCCTGCCCCACCAAACTTACAGCACAAAAACATGCTTCAGAGCTTGTTGCCTTTTCTACTGCCTGACTCACTTCAGGCTCTTTCAGGGCTGAATTCACTACAGACCAGGTACTCAGTAATGGAAATTTCCCACAACAATCCTTCTGTTGGCATTTACCAGGCTACATTCTTCCTTATATGAAGAGGAAGAAGGCTGACCTGAGTGCATGTCAACAAAATGAGAGAAGCTGTCTGTTCCAGCAAAGAGAAAACTATGTACCTTGTCAGCTCTTGAACATTGAACTTCCAGGGTGTATCTGGTTCTTGGAATGTAACTTCATATCTATTTTCATGTGCCTAAAGGACACAAAGATGACATTATGAAGCTGCACTAAAAGAATTGTCACCTCCACCAGAACTCCTGACAAGAGACAGCAATGCCTTGTCAAAGACTCTGTATGGTGTGTATTTCACAAGTAATGAACTACAATTATAAATCATATCTTGATATATTTGCCAACAAATAGCTTGGGAACTGTTCAATTCATGTCATGACTTGGGAAGGGTATGATGCCCTCATCACCAAGAAGTAGCAGATTCAAAGGCCATTAATCTTTTTAAGTGATTTTGCCTTCACTGAGTTACAAAGCTGACCAGCTAAATAATTACATGGGCACCTCTGCCCCTACTTCATCACACTATCCATTCTTAACTGTAATTAGAGAACTATGAGAAAACTGAAGTAAATATTTTTAGCCATGTAATGAACCTTTTCAGTCAGATCAACCTGTAAATGTCATAGCTAGGCATATAAAAGCAATAAATCAGAGCTTTCCCTACCATCATCACATACGGCTTCATTTCCCAAGCGTGGATGTTGGTGTTATCAATAATAACCGGGCTTTTCCCTTTCTTCATTGCTTTGCGTGCTGCAATGTAACACATTAGGTAAAGCTAAAACATATTAAATAACAGAGCCAGGCCTTACTAACTCCAAAGTGCTCTTTCTCTGCCCACTCACACACTTGGTTCCCCACCAGACCTGGGTTTGCAGTTACCACCCAAATGGGAGCCAAGGACAGCACCCAGAAGAGATGGTGCAGCCTCTGGCTGATCTGAAGCTCTTTTAGAACATACTCAAAACAGCAAAAAATTACTGTCATTTGCAGGAGATCCCTGTTACATCATCTCAAAGTATGAGATCTCATCACCTAATTCCTTCATCATCTCAAAGTATGAGATCTCATCACCATCCCTACAAATTCCTTCAGAGCACAGCCACCAAAGCATGATGCATTGAGTAAAGACTGGGTTGTTTAATTCTCAAACTTAAACTCAGCCTGCAAGTTTTCCTCCTGTCTATCATTATATTCTCACCCCCTTCCAGGTCAGGACAGGCACCTAAGAAGTTAGAGGAGAAGGCTGCAGTGCCTGTACTGCAGGGAGCAGCTGCTGGGCTGGTGTCTGAAGGGCATCAAGATTCAGCAGTGCCTAATCTAAAATAATATTAACCAACCTCCAAAATGTTTTCTTTTACAAATTTCCCTTTTATAAGACAGAAGAAATCAAATCAGAAGTGGTAAATGTATTTTTTAGCCAATGCCCCATGAACTACATTGTATGACACCACTTTGAGGTATTTTAATCTGGGGGCTAAGTTTAAGGACAGCCTGAAATGCAAAAATATTTTGCACAGCCCTTGGATAAAGTTCAGTCACCTCTTTTCTGGTTCCACTTGTGTGCATCCTCTAGGAAATCAGGCTCAAAGACGTAGACACCATTTTCAATAAAGAAGTCATCAGTACTAAGGACTACAGCAGTGGGGTTGTCACGTTTCAGCTGTCTGCAAGGAAAAATAAAAGATGAAAGAAAAATTAGTACCTGGTAACACCCTTTAACAGAGACCAGTCAGCCATGAGCTATTTGAGTGCTCTGCAAATACACACAGTGCTTCATCTGAAAAATCCCAATTTAAAGGATCTGGAAGTACTACAATCAGTAGATGGACACGTAGGAAGAAAGGAATGGAGCTTGAAGGCGTGGCCTTGATCTCTTTAATTCAGCAGAGAAATCTACACAGGACTACCAACATCTGAGTCTTTAATCTTATTAATATATTCAGCTCTCCTTCTGAGTTACCTGAGAAAGCAGGACTGTAAAGAGAAGGGAAAAAAACCCCAAAACAGTAGCCCAAACCTGCTTATCCAGGCATAGAAGTTGGTGTCACAAGACAATTTGATGATGGGAATTTTGTTATCTTCAGAGATTTCTGAAGATAACCAGGAGGAAGGATTTGTTATTTAGTAAAGATGGTCCAGAGAACCGTGAGTTTGGTTTGAGGGGTTTTTTTTGGCTATAAAGCAGGTAGTACTTATTTAGAATTTTAATTTGCAAACAAGTATTTGAATGATAAGTCAATATTTTGTGTTAATTTATATAATTTTATGGTTCTTATCACTTGTCCCTCCACTTAAATCTCCTCTTGTAGAGCTGAGTAATTTTTATCTCTTCAGCTTTTAAGCTAATTTTCTAAACAAATCTAAACAAATTTTCTAAACAAATGTTTTACTGACAAATTTGCAGATCTGTAAAGCAGACTGCTGTGGTGAGTGGCCCTGGGCAATCCCACTTCACATGGGTATGTGTCCCCCAGCAGTGCTCCTGCAGGCTGGGCATGCCATGGGGAGCAAATGGACACTGCTGGACACTGACTAGCTGCCTCACAGGCAGCTATTGGCTCCTGGAGGTGGAAGGCAGTGCTGCCTTGTGTGGAGGTTTAAATATGAAGCATCCCTCTGCCAGTCCTTAGAGACCACAAAAAAAACCCCAAAAAATCCCAAAACAAACAAACAAACAAAAACCCCAAAACAAACAAACAAAAGAAACCCCAACAACTCTTAATGTATGATTGTGTTCCCGTTTGTGTCTAATCCAGAATTTTTTGTGTCCATAGATATAGAATTGTCCTTTTTTCTTAATCAATCAGAGAAGAGCTGGGGGAGGAGAGAGTCTCTGCAAGAAGTCAGGGAGAGCCCATGGCATCATCCCTCTATTTCCTGTCTCCCAAGGCCCAGAATGTCTTGGGAAAAGAAAGCAAGGTCAGTCAAGAAACCCTGTATCTCTCAGACATGAATGCTGCTGCCCTGCTGTCTCACACCACACCTGGTCTCCAGTCCCTGTGACTCATTTCAGCTTTCCTAATAAACACTTCTCCCTCCATCCCCACAAGCTGCAAAATAACCATTTCTCAGTGTCTTATCTACATGGGCAAGAGCAAGGCAAGAGGTGTCTCCAGGTTATCAGCAGCAGAACAGGCACACAGGCAGAAAAACCTTGATTCTGTCACCCTGCTCTGTTTCAACCATTTATTTACCAGCTGTTCCCTAATCTGCCTGCAAGCAGCAGCTCTGCCCTAGGACTGCAGGGTGCATCTAGCTCAATAAATGTCAGCTTCTGACTCTGCTCTGTCTCGACTGTAATTTCTACCATCTGCTGATTAATTAATGTGATTTTGTGGTGGGCTCCACCCCAGCCAGCAGTGACTCAGCGCTGATGGAGCCAGGACTGGGTTGTACCCCCTGTAATGCATCATTCCAGCACCTACCTGTCCTTGTCTTCTAGCCCCAGAGGGATGTTTTATTCACAAAATTACTGCTGGGAAAACTGATTTAAGAAAAATCATGTTTTAAACACTGTTAGCAAACAGTAAAATTTTGTTGCTTTAATTTTGGCCTCAGGCAAAAAATCCTTATTATGAAAAGTGAAGCAACATCTAATGCTTCTCTGGTTACTGCTGTGGAGTGCTTGATATATTCAGGTCTCCCTGTGATTCAGCACCTCACATTTCCCACTGCTTTACTCATTGCAATTTCTTCTCTAAGAAACTGACTGCTAAACTATGTGTTTTCCTTTTAGCTACTAATAGGCACATAAAATGTGCACGTTAATAAAAGTTCTCAAGACTAATTTTTTTCCTTGCTCAGTATTTCTTTTTAAAATGTTCTTAACCCGTGCAAATTTTAAAATCCATTTTCTTGGCACATACCTTACTGAATTTTCAGCCCTGAGGGCTTTGATATTAACCCTTAAGCAATCTAAACTGTAGGTGAATATCTGTAAGTCTATGGTCCTCACATAAATAATTAAAGTAGATAAAACTTGTGTTTCAAAGGAGAAAAAATATGGGACAAAATGGGCTGAGAGCTATGAATTACTGTAACATTTGCTATATTCATACCAAATGAGCTCCTGCTAACAGCAACATAAGAAAACATGAGGTGTGAAAAAGATGGTTTACCTTCTGTTTATTTTGCTGGTTTTAACTTTTAGCTTTCCAAAACAACCAAACTGTTGCTGAAGTTGACAGCTCTTTCCTCTAATCCCTTCCATATTGCCCACAAAGCTGACAAAACTATTTCTTCTCACCCTTATCATTCCAGAGAGCACCAAGAACCCTTTCATGTGGTCCTTACTAAATGAGCCTTCCACAATCTTCACAGGACCTCAGGTTAGTTTAGAAGAAAGGTCCTGCACAATCACATCATGCTCTTAATCACTGGAAGCAATTAAAATGCCTGTATTTTAGAAAAATACAAACCAGCTATGTAAAATGGGAGAGCTTGTGACCATGGTTATTTATGAATAAATCTTGAACTGCCCTGTAAAAAGAAAATTACCCACTGCTGATAGATAAGCACACTTACACTGCAATCTCTTTGCAAGATCAAAGGACACATAGGAGCTATGTTTGCATTTTTTAAAGAAGCCACTGAACTGGAAGCACTGCATTGTGACGGGCAGCACCTGTGAAAAGTTCAGTATTGATTTGTTTTGGACACATAATTGCACAGTACTACATGTCTTCATATTGCAGTGGATATGGTACCTCCTTCACCTTGCACAGGGGTGAGGAGAAAAGGGTTTAAGGAGGTTTATTTTAAGCAGAGGAAACATCCCTCCTTCTCTTCTGGCTTTCTCATCCTCTCTAGTTTCTGAAACAGCAGAAAACCTTTCCTTAGCAAAGGGTAGAGCATCATAAATTTTGTATCCATAGATTATCATACTTTTCCATCAGAAAACTTGAAAATAAACCAATTTCTGATAGCAGACTGGAATAAACATTTTCAGTGCTCAGAAGGCCACAGAACAGAATATCAGAGACCAGAACATGCACGTACTGGCACCATATGCAACCACCTCCTCTGGACACTCTTCCAAACTTTAAGGGTCCTGTGGCATTTCAAAGGTGTCTAAAAGCCTTTTGCTCCAGCAGGAAAGCGGGACTGTGAGATCTGGAGGGGCAATGCCCAGCACTTGCCACTGTCTACTGGGTTTGAAGAACCCAGGTGCCCCAAGGGCTTTGCCTGCCGAGCTGCCAGGCCCTGCAGGCAGAGCACAGCCGAGCCCTTGTGTCCCATCCCGGGAGGGTCCAACCACGGCTCTGTCTCCCAAGGCCCCAGGCTCGAGTCCTGTCTGATCAAGGCACTCAGGAGGCTCCCCTGAAGTGGTTTCAGGCAAAGGTAAATGTTTACAGAGCAATGATGCAGGGAGGAGGAGCTGCAAGAGCTGAAGCCCATGAACCCGTCAGAGCTGCAATGCTGCAGTGGGGTCAGGTGCTGGGAACGCTGGGAGCAGCTGGCCCAGGACTGGAGGTGCTGGGATAAACCAGGCAACAGCAGCAGAGAGAACTGGAGAAGACACAGATTGTGCCAAGCAGTGATGCCTCAGTGCCAGGGCATTTTTCCTTCTCCTGTTCCGAAAGATTACTCGTTCTGTGCTTCACAAGGGAGTACAAGAACAAGCTCATTTCAAGAAATAAATCAACAGCTGTGGCTGAAAAGTTACAAGTTTGCTCATGCCCAGCCTATGGAGCTTGAGTAAAACTGTTGGATAAAGGATCAGGTGTAAGCTGAGCTGTGCAGCACAGCAATGTAAGAGCTGGAAATGCAGCTACTGTGCAATGCAGAGTTTGCTGGGGAAGCAGGTATGAGCTTGTATGTGGCTCACTTAAATTCTGGAGGCATTTTTGGAAGTACAGCTGCCACTGCACCTCAGATAACCTTTTTTCTTAGCAGCTGCCTCAGTGTGATCACAAACCTGCGCTGTGAAGTCAAGGACAATGTGTTCAGGAAGAGCATGTCCAGCACACTGAAGGAGGCTGATGGAGATGTGACTCCCAGCTGTGACTCTCCTTCACATTTCCATGACATTTGGTGAAAGGTTAAAGGCAGGTAGCTGGGGCCACCTAGAATATGTGGCTCAGGGAAGCTCATCCTTAACAGTGAAGCTGCTGGAAAGGTGTGAAGCTTGGTGGTGAGCAGACCAACTCCTCATCCTGGCTTGACTACTCAGTAGTCACATGTGGGTCCTCTGCTGTCTTTGCCAGAAACCAAAAACCAGACCTGAACTGATCCATGCCAGTGTAGGGCTGCTCTGAGCTGGGAGCAACCAGGATGAGGAAATCATTTCAACAAAACTGCCAAAACTAAAGCTTACAAAGCTGTATCCAAACTCTGCTGAGTGACATTGAAAGGTCAGGGAAACAAGCCATGGATCCCAGGTTGTTCCTAGGACTGTGTGATGGGCCCTTTTGAGTGGAGTTATCACTGGGTTGCTGTATCACCAGTGATAACATTGATGGTTTGTGACTCGTGGGCACCCTAAAGATGTAGAGTTTGTGATAGAAACACAGAAATACTGGCTGATCTGCAGAAAGAATTAATGTAGGTATATGTGAAAGCACCAGAAGAAAGAACAGAGCAAAGGCTAAAACAATGGTACCCACTGACAGCCAAGATCATTAACAGCAATAAAACTGGGATAGGTCCTGATTACAGCCCCCAAGGCCAGCACGGAGCTGAGGCCCAGCACTGGTGACCTGCCACAGGAAAACCCTTGCTCTGAGAGCAGGAGGATGGCCAGTAGGTCACACCAGCCTCTCCACACCAGCTTCCTTTCCCTTGTCCCAAGAGCAGCAGATGATGAAGACACGCAACATGGGAAAATGAATAAATGGGAAAAAAATCCACCTAAGATTCATAAAGCACCAAGTAAGCAGAATTTGCAGGGTAAAAAAATGGCATTATCAGAGCTGTTGGCTGGAGATGGCACAGCAGACCTGGCCAAAACCTACCCTGCCACCACCAACCGAGAGCAACCCAGCAGAGAAAGCGAGGATGGGACAGCTTATGGTCCTTGTCTGTTCTGATTTTGGGCAGACCACCTGAGCACATTCATCTTGATGCTTGCACGTATTAAGCTGTGATATTGTGAGTGAATAAAATCTGAGAAAATAAACTTGAATTTATAAAATGAGTTTACAGAGTACTTTTGCAAATAAACAACCACCTTCCTCCTCCAGGGGCATCTTGCACTGAGATCTGTTGCAGTCATTTTTTGCAAACTTGCCCTTGTGCAGCACATAGCATTTACCAATACCAAAAGCTATGCAGTGTGAGAACAGCAAAAGAATTCTCTTGGTACAATCCTTCACAAGCTGGACAGGGTTAAGGACAGGTACTAAATGCTGCTTTTGGATCTGCGTGTTGCTGAACAGCTAAACACAATTATTCGATTAAGAGGGGCTAGAAACAATAAGATACTCAAACCTCCGTCTCACAGAGGACTACTACAACAACACTTACAACTGATTTTGTAAATGTGTCATTAACAATTAACCCTGTGTTTTGACCTAAACAGTACAGGTAAGTACAGTTACTTGCACTGCCTGAGAACATGCCCCCAAACCTTCATGTTCTTACTGTGCTATGAGAAGACCCAAATCCCCCTGAAGGAGCAGGCCCACACTTACACGCCATCTGAAGGGAGGGGTTTGGTTTTTGGGTGTGAGCAAAACGCAGCACTTGGCAATTCATAAAAGAACTTTCTTTGCCAAAGTGCAGTGAGGGAGAAGGCCCAGTGGGACAGGGAAGTGCTCCACTGAGAAGAGGAAACTGTGGATGAAGCCAGTGTATCACACACCTCTGACAGCAGAGCCCTTCCTGTGGCAGCCCATGATCCCAGCACGGGTCCCTCAGCCCAGCAGAGTAAGAAGGCAGAACGTTCCTCTTTTGATAGGGAGTGGGTGGCACTGGGAGCTGTGTGATACGAGACTGTGAGATTTTGATACCAAACTGCAGCTGCACCGTCACACTGACTGCAGGGCTGCTTCCCAGCACTCCCCACTGTGTCTTTCCACCTATTTACGATCAGCCTTTGAGATGTTGGAGCGTGGAGTGGTCTCCTCTACACATTTTATACACTGCTAAAGCTCTGACCAGGAGTGCAGGACATTACAAAAACAGAAGTTAGAGTTGCCAATTTTCAGCCAGAGAGAGGAAGTTTGTTACCATGTTTGTGATCAAACACAAAAAAACCCTAAATCACAAAAAAAACCCAAAAAAGACCCCAAAAAACAAAAAAAAAAACCAACCCAACAAAACCAATCAATCAAAAAAATAAAATTTAAAAAAGAAAAAAGAAAGCCACCAGCAATCTGACACTTTTGAGAAAAGGAACAAGTACCGCCCAGGTCGGGGTGATCAGTCCATCTCACCAGAAGCATCCCTGTAGGTACCGCTGGCTCGGAACAGGAGCTCGCACAGTCCCACGGGCAGGACACCCAGACACAGCCACAGGTGCCGGGGACAGCGCAGCCAGGAGCGGGCCTGGAGCCGGGGGCTCCGGA